CAGTACAATGTTGGATAGAAATAGGTTATATTCTATTAAGGTTATATAATTTTATGACATGAGCTTTAGTATTCTTGCTTTTTTTTTTGGTCTCTTTGCTCTTCCTTGCTTTTAATCTTAGGAGGAAAACTTTCAGTCTCTCCTTTTTGAGTATGGTATCAGCGTTGGGCCTTTCATAAATGTTCTTTATCATTTGAGGATGGTCCTTTCTATTCCTAGTTTTCATTGAGTGCTTTTATTATGAAAGAGTGTTGGATTTTGTCAAATGCCTTTGCTGTATCAGTTGAGATGATCATGTCTTTTCTCCCTCTTCATGCTGTTAGTGTGTTGTATTACATTGATAGATTTTTGGATGTTCAATTACCCTTACATTCCTAAAATATATTCCACTTGGCTGTGGTGTATAATCCTTTTAATAGGTTGCTAGATTTGGCTTGCCAGTATTTTTTGAGGATTTTTGCATCTGTATTTGTCTTAGTTACTTTTCTCTTGTTGCTGAGACAAAATACCCAACACACAAAATTAATGAAGGAAAGGTTTATTTAGCTCACAGTTTGTGGAGGTTTCAGTCCACAGCTGGCTCCAAGGCAGGGTGGCATGGCACAGGTGCAACACTTCAAGGTGGCAGAAGACAACAAAGCAACAAGAGCAAAAGGGGGAAGAGGAAACCTCTTTTCCTCCCTTATATTGTAAAGAGGGTACCACTCCCTAGGATGGGTGTATGTAGCACTTACATCACCTCCCATGGCATCCTCTTGCACAGGATGAGGATGTTTACAAAGTGAGGACCCTGGGCCCCTGCTGAGTTGCTTAAACTTCTAAACTTCTCAAGTTGACACAGTGTATCAACCATGGCAATCCACCTCTTGTCAACTTGGCAACCAGATGCATTTCTTTAAACTGGTCTCCAGGTACAAAGACGTGCTTATTCTTATCATTTCACAACTTGAACATTATAACACAGGTTTAACAATCCTTATGAACCAATATTAAGTCTATCAACATTATATTACATTAGAACTATAACATTTCACTTCTGGACTCCCAAAGATTCATGCATATCCCTTTACGCAAAAGGCATTTAGTCCATCTCTAAGAGTTGCCAGAGCCACAACAGTTTTGCTGAAAAGTCCAAGTCCCAAGTCTCCTCTGAGATATAAGGCAACTCTTAGTTGCAAGCTCCTATACAAATGAAAGTTAGACACTTCCAACATTCAATGGTACAAAATAAGCATTTTCTTTCCAAAAATTACAAACAGGGGAATACAAAGGAATGGGATCAAAGCAAGTCCAAAATCCATCAGGGAAAACATTAAGTCCTGTAGTTCCACATCCAGCATCTGAGGCAATCTGTGGCAAATTGTGAGCTCCAAAGGGCTTGGATGGCTCCACCCCTGTGGCACTTCTGGTGGTTATAGCTCCTACAGATTCTCTGTTAGGCCCATGAGGATTTTTGCATCTGTATTCATATGAGGTATTTTCTTGTGATGTTTTTGTCTGACATTGATATCCAGGTAATGCTGGCCTTAAGTAAGAGCTGTTACCTTTTATTCAATTTTCTGGGAAGAGTTTGAAAGGATTGATCATAATTTTTAAAAAATGTTTTAAAAAACTCACCAATGAGGCCATCTGGTCCTAGGCTTTTCCTAGGCTTTTCCTTTGATTATTGGTTTAATCTCTTTGCTTGTCGTATAGATCTATTCATATTTTCCATTTCTTCTTGAACCAGTTTTATAGTGTGTATTTCTAGGAATTTGTTCATTTACTCTTGGTTATATAATTTTTTGACATGATTATTTAATATTCTTACTGTCGTTTTGGTCTGCTTGGTCTTCCTATTACTAAGTGAGCAATGTTAAAATCTCCAACCAAGTTTACAAATGTGTCTTCTTTTGGTTTTGTCAATTTTTGTCTTCTGTATTTTGAAGCTATGCTATTGGCTATGCTACCTGTATATACTACAGATTTAGGATGGTTATACTTTCTGGTGGATTGACCTTTGTATCATCGTGAAAATGTGCCTCTTTATGTCTAGTAATGCTTCTTACTTTCAAATCTATTTTAAAGGTATTAGTGTAGCTATACTGGAGTTCTTTTGTTAGTTGTGTATATGTTCTTTTCCGTCTTTTTGCTTCCAAACTGGTCCTTTATATCTAAGGTGTATCTTTTGTATCATATACTATTTAAAAAAAAAGGGCTGATATTATTTTTATTTTTCGGTTTGTTTGTTTTTTGTCTTTTTGAGACAGGGTCTCGCTATGCAGTTCAGGCTGGCCTTGAGCTCACTGTGTAGCCCAGGCTGGTCTCAAACTTGAAGTAATCCTCCTGCCTCAGCCTCCCAAGTGCTGGGATTACAGGTGTGCACCACCATGCCCAGCATGGGCTGATATTATTTTTAAATTTGACTATTTTATGAATTATGATATATTTGGGTTTAAATGTGATATAACACTGTTTTCTGTTCAACTTATCTGTTCTGTGTTCCTTTTTTCTCTCCTTTCTTGCCTTCTTTTGGATTCAGTATTTTTAGATTTTTGTTCCCTGTCTGGTAGCTAGTTAGCTGTGCATTCTTTCAGAATCCTCTCTGTAGCTTGCAATATGTCTGTCTGACTTACTGAAGGACTTTTACTACTTCCTGGTATTTTAATTCCATTTACTGCTTATATACAGCTATATGTATATATAACATATATTATTGTTATTATGCCTTTAAGTATTGCATCTGTGACTATTTTATTTCCTGGGAAACTTCACCCTGCTCTACACAATCAGTGTTCAGAGGTGCTCACTCTGCTGCTCTTCAACTCTTTCTGCTTCTGTATGCTTTCAGCTGGAATAATTCTCCCTCTGCCTGAAGAATGCTCTTTACTATTCCCTTTCTTCAGCTTTTTTGTGAAGTATGACTGCGGTGTTTCCCAGGGCCCCTTGCTCTCAGTGGCCCTGGAACTCCAGTTTCATTCTCCAATCCTGCAAGACCACCCAGTTGCTCAGCCTTCAGGCTGCCCTTGCTGCTTGGTGCGTGCTTCCACAGGAGGCTGCTCCTTCCTGAGGACACTCTCTGTAGTCCCTTCTTGGCAGGATCTTTAGCCTTGGAGTTGTCACTGTCCTTACATTTCTCAGACGTTTTATTCATATATCACCTCACACTTTTTCCTATTGGGAAGGCTCCTCTGCTGTGAGATAATTTGTCATTATTAAGACTGGAAAGCTTGCCAGTTGTTTTCTTAATTTTGCAATCCTGACTAGTGGCTGAGGAAGGGTGAGAGTGTATGTAACTCAGCGTTGCTCTTGTATCCTTCTGTTACAGGTGCATGGGCTGGGGATATAGCTCAGCGGCACAAGTGCCTGCCTGGCAAGCGCAAGGTCCTTAGTTCGATTCCTAGTACCCCCCCCCAAAAAAAAACCAAACTGGGTGTAGTGGCGCATGCCTGTAATCCCAGCACTCGGGAGGCTGAGGCAGGAGGATCATTGCAAGTTCAAGGCCAGCCTGGGCTACAAACTGAGCTCAAGGCCAGCCTGAACTTCATAGTGAGACCCTGTCTCAAAAAGACCAAAACAAACAAACAAACAAAAAAAACACCCAAAAAACAAAACAAAAAAACAAGTGCATGTCTGTGTGGCTCTATGCTATGGACAGAACACAATTACATACATGTAAAAAACGCATATACTGTATCTGTGAAACAAATGCATATCCAAGCTCAGAGAGGATTTTTTTCTCCTTAACCCTTTGGAGAAAGTATAGAAAATTCTTGTTTGTCAGCATATAAAGCCTTTTTTTTTGTACTGGGAATTGAACTCAGGCACTGTGCCACTGAAGCATACAAAGCCTTGCATTATTATTTTTTAAATTATTTCTGTAGTATATGAATATTTCACATTATGTTAAATTCTCTTTGTTAAAATGGTGCCAACATCAATACATTTGGGTAAATGTACTTGGAATCCCCAGAGAACTCTGCACACAAGCATGTTAAAGCATGTTAAAGACTCTAAAACATGTAAATAAACTTATTTGATTATAATATTCTTTTTTTGCAACAACACCTATTCCTATCCCATGGGGTACTAGGACTGTGTAGGTAAATCTGGGGAAACATTGCTTTTAGCAAATCCAAATCCACAAAAACCTCACAAAACTGGAGCACTGCCCAGTGTGTCCTCAAGTGTGGCCTCTCTGAGGACAGTCCGAAAGTGTGAGCCTCAGGTGTGGGTTTGGAGGGCTCAAGCTCCCTACTGTTCCATAGCTAAAACGAGGCAGAACTTGGGAGTACATTCTTGGGCTTTGTGCTTCCAGGAGTGAAGCCATCTGCTCTATTCTCTTCATATCAGCCTGGGTCAGCATGGGGCATCTGTTTGTGTCGGTGGAAACTGAATTTTGACTTTTGACTTTTGTAAGACCAAACTCGCCCTTACTTCACCTACCTTTTGGAGGTCTTGCCACTTCTCTGTGCAGTAAGAGGGTGAGGTATTTGTGATGGAGTTCGTAGAGCTTCTGCTCAGGAGCTGAGAAGCGTAGTTTCAAGTCCGGGAGCTGAGTGACCTTGGGAGAGTTAACTGTGCAGGAGTGGTGAGAGCATGGGCTTTGACGTCAGCCACACTTGGCCCTTTCACTGCCTTGCTTTGTGACCACGGGCGCACCATTTCACCTCCCTGCCCCTCCACTCCCTTACGCTGTGGTGAGAAGGAAATAGGATAGTGCATGTCAAGTACAAACCTGGAACAAATGGGCACCTGGCGAGTGTCAGTTGTCATTCTTCACCCACACCTGACTCCTTCATCTGAGTTTGAAGAGAACCTCAGGTTTTCAAGATGCTTGAAGGGAACCTTGAGTATGAAGAGAGTTTTGTAAACTCTTGGAGACAAAGGAAGATCCAGGCAGTTTCATTTTCATTCCTGCCCTTGATGCTGCCTTGTCCCTTCTGGCTGGGCAGGGCTGGCTGTGGGGACCACACCAGCCTCCTTCCCTGCTCTCAGGTGGAATCATTTCTCTATAACAGAACATTGGCAAGAAGATGTCCTGCCAGCAGTTCATTGCCAACCTGGACCAGCTGAATGATGGCCAAGACTTTGCCAAAGACCTCCTGAAGGTATTACCTGCTTAGGGTCCTTGTGTCCACGGGTGTGCACTGGGTGGATGGAGAGAAGTCTCTGACCCACTAAATCCTGGCATTCCAGACCCTTAATACCAATGGCGGGGCCACCAGAACTTTGGGACAGAGTTAGAGATCATCCAGCTCAATTGCTCTGTGTTCCTTGAGTTAATTAGGCTTTGTGAGATTTGTGTAATAATCCTATCACCTGTGGTCACAGCTGCCACCCATCACCACCTCCTTTGCTACTGCGGTGCCTTTACTACAACCATCATGAGCAGCTCTGTGGGAAAAGCTCCCTCATTCCTACAACATCACCAGGAATTAAAGGAATCAGTTTGGTTTTTAGGTTTAAACCTGGAGTGGATCTTTGGTCTTTCCAGTCTAGTAAGTTCTCCACCTTGGGGAAAGAGAAACTGTTTTTTTGGGGAGGCAGATGAATTCATTTTTAGATAGTGGATTTTGATGACTTTGTGGTACCAGGAGGGTAGTTGAATAGTGAGTCCAAAGGTAAAGATGCATAATTATTTCATCAATTAAAAATAAAACTAAAAAAGAGAACATTGTCTCCATAACTGTGTTCTTTCCCATGAAAAAGCACTTGTTAAGAACATATTAATGAGATCAAACACCATCCACCTGACAACTTTCCCCACTTACTCATCCGTTTTCCCACTCATGTACCCATCCGCCCAGCCAGTCACTCACCTTCCTGCACACCCACCCGTACCTTTATCCCAAACACTGTCCCACATGCCAACCACTCACGGTGTTCCCATCCTTACCTATGTGTTTCTTCACACGTCCATGTACTCACCCATCTGCCCGTGTTTGTCTATCCAGCCATCCAACCCTCCTGTTGAACACTGCTGCATGTTGAGTTCTAGATTATGCACTGGAGATTCATGGGGAACAAGATAACAACTCCTGACCTTGTGAAGCTTATTGTCTCCTGGAGGGACAGACAGTAAATGATTGCACCATCAAACACCAACCATTCACACATCCACCCACCCACTCCTTTATCCCTCCGACAAATATGAACCAAATACCTACTTTGCCCATTAGCTGAAAGGGAGCCCCCTCACCGCACACACATCGCTGGAGCAGATGGTGACTTCTTTGACTCTTTACTTGAACTCCTCTTTTCCTCTCTTCCAGACCCTTTACAACTCCATCAAGAATGAAAAGCTGGAATGGGCTATGTGAGTAGTGCCCCTGGGCACAGGTACGGGGAGAATGAACCGGGAGTGGGCCTAGCTGGGAGTGCTGATTAGTCATGCTGACCACTCTCCATGGTGCTGATCTCTCCCAGTCTAGGCCCCTGACAACCCGTGCACAGCAGGCCAGCATATCTCATTGAGTTCCCTTTTGGGTCCATTCTTGATAAACAGTGTATACTGTTTACTTTGCTATCAAATAGACTGAACTGTGAATTTAGTTCCATAATATACACAATTGGTTTTCTGTGCTGAGGGCATTGCCAAGTTCCTAACAGTGACAGCTATTTCCCCTTTAAGAGGTAGGCAGGCAGGAGGCACAGGTCCCCTACAACCCTGAGAATATGGCTATGTTTAGGAGGTAACTAGTCTTGGCACTGGGGAAGGCAGCTGTCACTTAACTTTCCCCATGTGGTTAGTGAGGTCTGGAGGTGCTCAGGTGTCTGGAGAGAAGGGTGGGGACCATGCTGGTCTGAGAAGCTGTGAGACACTCCAGACGGAACCCCTCCCTGCTCTGCTTCCCAGGGCAGCCTGTGGCTTTGGGTCTGTGGAGAGGCTTAGGGGCTCCATTCTTCTGGAAGGGCTGGACTTTTCTTCCAGGGCTCCATGGTGAGCCCAGACTTTCTGGGCTTCGCCTACTGACCTGCCCCTGCCAGCATGTTGAGGTTTGTGCTGCAGCTTCAGCCTGCCCAGGGGTTAGTGCCAGTGCCCACCCACATTGGCTCAGAGAGGGTGGTTGATGAGAAAGGACGTGGTGGTGTGGAGATGAGGCCTCCCTGGAGGTGGTGCTCAAGCCTGGTACTTTCCTAGCGATGAGGATGAGCTGAGGAAATCCCTGTCTGAGCTGGTGGATGACAAGTTTGGGACAGGCACAAAGAAGGTGACACGGATTCTGGATGGCGGCAACCCCTTCCTGGATGTCCCTCAGGCTCTCAGCGCCACCACCTACAAGCACGGCGTGCTGACTCGGAAGACTCACGCCGACATGGATGGCAAGAGGAGTGGGTGTCAGGCTGGGGAAAGGGGCATGGGGAGGGATGCTGGCTCAGGTGCCCCCCTCGGCCACTCCCTTGGGGTGCACATACAGGTGGACACGCAGGGGAGGCAGGGTAGGAGACACTGGAGAGGGTGTTTGTGGCTGCACTACCTGTGCCTCCCTCCCCAGCACCCCGTGGGAGGCGTGGCTGGAAGAAGTTCTATGCAGTGCTCAAGGGGACCATCCTGTACCTGCAGAAGGTGAGATTGCCCCAGAGTCTTTCGGAGGCAGGACCAGCTCAGTCCCATGCAGCCTTGCCTTGTAGTACTCAGGGGATCTTGGGCAGGACCTGGAGCTTGCAGGGGGGATCTGGGTCCTTCCTCCCTCAGGGCCCTGACTTGGGTTCACTCAGGCCTTTGAAGGTTTGGGAGGGGTCTTTGAAATGTCCAGCAACATTGGATAGTGTGTCAGGCCTCTAGGACAGATGGGTCCAAGAGAGTGATCCTCGTTTGGGAGGAGGGAGATTGAAGGACAAAGGGGAGGGAGTGAGAGAGTGGAACATGCGGGGCAGAAAGCTAGGGCCTGGCGGTGACAGAGCCCCTGCTCCTCAGGATGAGTACAGGCCTGACAAGGCTCTGTCGGAGGGTGACCTGAAGAATGCCATTCGTGTGCATCATTCTCTGGCCACCAGGGCCTCTGACTACAGCAAGAAGTCCAATGTGCTCAAACTGAAGACTGCTGACTGGAGGGTCTTCCTCTTCCAGGCCCCGTAAGTAGGATTCTGAACCCTTTGCTCCTACTCAGCTCAGTCCCTGCAGCATGGACCCTACATGCAGCCCTCTCCTGGCAGTCAGGGTCCACACCTCACCTTTCCGTGCACAGCAGCCACAGAGCTAGTGTGTCCACTTGACACGGTCAGCAGCTGCTTTGGGCCTTCCAAAGTTTGGGCCCTCAGCACTCAGTGGAAACTGGTTAGCAATGCAACCTCCTGGCCCCACCGTTGACCTACCAAATCAGAACTTCAGGATGGGTCTCAGCGACTGTGCTGTCACTAGCCCTATCAGGGCTGCCCACACATGCCAAGACCCCCGAGGGCTGGGAACAGTGGACTCTTTACAAATCATCCTTGACTTTAAATCTGTGGTCCGGTAGGAAAGATTCTGCCTGCAGCTGACCTGGACTCTGCTGTGCTTCACATTTCTGTGACTTGAAATTGGGTTTTCATGTGTCAGATGAACTTAGAAGGAGGGAGATGGGTAGGTGAGGTTGGAGATCAAAGTGTAAGGGCTGAACAGGCAGCTGGGGTAGGATGGGGGGCTGTGGGGGCCGCCACTTGCCCATTGCTCCTGGTCATCCTCTGAGCTCGAGGACTCCAGGGCCGTCAGCTCTGTCGGCATCCATCCACCTGCTCCATCACCCTGGCCTCCTTTCCCCATCTGTGAAAGTGTGAGTGCCCTTCCTGTGCCAGGCCTAATGCTGGGTACTACGTGCTGGGTGTGTGTGTGGGTATCAAGTCCTATTGTGAGAAACCAGCACCCTCCCCTCCCCTCCTGTCCCCAGGAGCAAGGAAGAAATGCTGTCCTGGATCCTAAGGCTCAACCTGGTGGCCGCCATCTTTTCAGCCCCAGCCTTCCCAGCCGCTGTAAGCTCTATGAAGAAGTTCTGTCGGCCCCTGCTGCCCTCCTGCGCCACTCGTCTGTGCCAGGTACAAGTTCCTGGGTTCATGATGCCACCACCCAGGCTGCGGCCCCCAGCCTAGAGCATCCACTTGAGAGCACCACCGGGCCCTGGGCTGAGGGACACCAGGGAAGGGCAGATGTTCTTTTCCATTCCATGTGCCCCATCCCCACTTACAGGTGGGGGGACTACGGCCATGTGTCACATGGAGGCCAGCTATTACGTGGCAGACAGCATGGGGTCATGTCCCTGCAGTGTGGATGGGGGTCCAGTGTTGTTTGCATCTGGGCCTAAGTGTGAGAGGTTGTGTGTGTCATGGGGTGTTAGGGACAGGTGGGGCATGGGTGCCCTCGGCCCAGTGCTCTTTTTATTTGATTTTACAAAATATTAACACATTAACTGTAAAAGTGAGTGGGGTTCATTGTGATATTTCCATACATGTGTACATCAAGCATTGGTCAAGTCCATCCACTCTCCAACCCTCTACTCCTCCCACACTGTCCGCCCAATGCTCTTCCCATTCCTTAGGCAACCCTCTTTCAGTTTCTGCAAATTAGCAGTCACATGCAATACTTGTCTTTCTGTGTCGAGCTTATTTTGCTGCGTATGACAGCATTTCATTCTTCTTTATGGTCGAATCAGACTCCATTGCATATATTTAACACCATATTTTCTTTATTTGTTCACCTGTTGCTGGGCACCTAGGCTGGTTCCACATCTTGGCTTTTGTGAATGGTGCTGCAATAAACCTGGGGTGTAGGGATCTCTTTTGCATGCTGACTTCATTTGCTTCAGGTGTGGGGTGGCTAGTAGTTCTAGTTCTTGTTTTTTGAGGCACCCCCGCACTGTTTTCCATTTTGGCTATACTAATTTAATTCCCACTAACAGTATACAGGGGTTCCTTTTTCTCTACATCCTTGCCAGCTTTTGTTATTTTTTGTTTTTTAAAATAATACCCGAAAATACTGTTTTGATGTTCTCACTTATCCCTGGATGTTTTATTTGTAGCCCTTTGAAAAACCCAGCTCATCAATACTTCAGGGTTTCAGTGTATTTTGGAGAGGAAAGGATAGAGGGTGGGGCAGAGGTGGAGAGGCAGAGGGAGGGGGAGGCACTGGACTTCCTGTCTGTCAGCCCCTGGCTCCTTCTCCTTTGTGCCCCTGTCTCTCCTGGAGCACTGGAGCCTCCATATCTGCCCAGAGCATCCATGTGCACACGCACAGAAGTCACACCTATTCTATGCACATGCACGTGCCACTTAGGCACACACGTGCACACGAGTACACACACGCCATGCACTCACATCCACACACAGGTCCGCACACGTGTGCATGTGCACACTGCACCAAGGGGCCTGGCTGTATGAACTGTAGTGGGTCATAGCTTGTCTTTGGCTGTGATCCTGGATCTGTGACTGTCATGTGCATCTGAGGTGGAATGTAAGAGAATGTATGTGTCCTGTGGAGTCAGAGGTAACTGGGTTCAGGCTGATGCTTGGCCCAGTGTGTCTGTGTGCATGTGAGAGTTCCCGTGAGTGAGGGTGTGCCTGTGGAATGGAGTGTGTCCAAGCACATACTAATGGAAGAGTGCCGGGCATGGAGGAGAGAGAGTGCCGGGCATGGAGGAGAGAGAGTGCCGGGCATCGAGGAGAGTGGATGCCCCTAAGAGCGAGGGGCGGAAGGAGCAAGGTGGGAGGAAAAGGGAAGGTATGAGGAGCACTTCCACGGGTGCAGAGCCTGGCTTTACCTCTATGGGTTCGAGAACATGAGACTGCCTCAGTGTCCCTTTTGTGAGGCATCTCCTAGCAGTAGGGGTTAGAACCAGCCCCCTGACCTCGAGTCGGGCCTTACCGCCCTGTCTTTGCAGGAGGAGCAGCTGCGGTCCCATGAGAATAAGTTGAGGCAGGTGACCGCAGAGCTGGCCGAGCACAGGTGCCACCCAGTGGAGAGGGGCCTCAAGTCCAAGGAGGCGGAGGAGTACCGGCTGAAGGAGCACTATCTCACGTTTGAGGTGGGCCTCCAGTGGGTGCATCGCGGGGGTTCAGGTTGGGACCAGAGGAGGAGGCCAGTTCCCCCTCCACCTCCCTCCACCACCATCCTTCCCCAGCCAGGGGCTCCTCGTGTGGGAGTCCCCTCGTGTGGGAGTCCCCAGAGGCAGGTGTAAGCTAAGGATGAGCCATGGCTTTCTGTGGGCCAGTTTTACACAGCCCATCTGGTGATGGTAATCAACAGTTGCACCCCCGCCTGAGTCTCCAGGAGCGCTGGGGGCTCCAACAGAAACAATAGCTCCTTTCCAGGAGACTTCTCCACCTTCACCTCCTGTCCCAGACAGACCCAGCTTCTTTAGAAGATTTTACAAGTAGCCACAAAACTCTCAAGCCCTGGCCCCCAGCACCCTCTCGCTTGGCCTCACTTTCCTCTTGCACATCTGTTCAGCAGCAGAGCAGTGTGGGGCCCTGGTCTCTCCATGGAGCTCTGGAGGCCTCCGTACCTTACTCTCCCTTCCCGTCATGCTGTCGTTGTCTACCCACTGCCCTGACTCTCCTCACAGTGCTCTGCAGGTGGGGCTGAGCAAGCACGGCCTTTGTCAGAAAGGATGGGGCGCCAGGTTGTCGGGGAGGAAGCATGCGTCCATTTTGGACTGCCCTGCAGAGGGGTGGGCAGACAGACAAACGAGAAAGTGAGACTGAGTTGGGAAGTCCTCAGAGCAGGGGGGGCAGGATATTGCCAGTCTCAGTCTCTGCAGCTCCACGTTGACTTGTAGGGTAGGGTATAGAGGAGGGTGTAGGGTATAGAGGTGAGTGTAGGGTATAGAGGAGAGTGCCCAAGGCAGACCTGACCTTTTGAAAAACAAAGCTTGATCGCGCTTTGAAGTCTGCTCACATCTACTCTCTGTAGCATAAAAATAGTGATGGTAAAAGCCACCATGACCAGCCTTTTGCTAAATACTAGGCCTGATTCTCATTTCCTTTTTATTGACTGAGTTCATCCTCATACCAACTCTGTGAGGACTGTTTTGCTATCCCCATTTTATTGGTGGGGAAACTGAGGCTCAGAGAGGTTACTTGAGGTAACCCAGCTAAGAAGTGCAGGAGCCAGGATCCTAACTTAGGTGACTGTAGCTCCAACACACCGTTCTCAGTCTCACCGGGCTTAATGCCGGGGTGGGTGGAGGTGAGCAAGAAAGGTCTCGCTCCGGTGGCAGAGCCAGGGAGAGGTGTCCCCTGACCCCTCGTCGCTGGTCCTGCAGTGTGCCAGGCTCTCCTGACTGTGGCAAGGCTATGAAGTTGAGGCAAGACCACCAGCTACTGCTAAACCCCTCTTCTAACATTAGCACTGTCAATACCCTCCTTTAATCAGGTGTTAATAGTTACTTCCCCAACCCCTCACCAACACTGGGCTTGTCAAATGTTTTAATCTTTGCTAACCTGACAACTTTAATAAACAGTGTCTTATTATTAGTATTTTAATTTAGGTTTACTTTTTTTGAATTGTGGCAAAATATGTAACAGAATTTGCTGTCTTCACCATTTTTAAATGCATAATTCAGTAGTGTCTGTTCACATTGTTGTGCAGTCAGTGTGCAGGACTTTTTATGTTCTCTAACTGAAATTTTGTACCCACTAAACAGTAACTCCTGTTCCCCTTCCCTTAGCTCACAACGACTACTATCTAATGTCTAATATTCATCACTAATCACAAATCTAATGTCTACCTCCGTGGTTTTTTTTTTTTTTTTTTTTTGTGGTACTGGGGATTGAGTCCAGGATCTTGTGCTTGGTTTCTCACTGAGCTATATTCCCAGTGGATTCATTTTTTGAGACTGAGTCTTGCTAAATTCTTCAGGCTATCTTCGAACTTGGGACCCTTCTGCCTCAGGCTCCCAAGTAGCTGGGATTGTAGCTGTGTCCCCCTGTACCCAGAGTTTTTCCATGATGTTGACTGCTCTTTGGGCCTTATATATGTGGAATGATGCAGAACTTGTGTTTTTGTGATTAGCTTACGTAAGGAAGCATAATGCTAAGTTGCATCCATGTTTTAGCATGCTTCAGGAAAATCATACTCCATCATACACACATAGTGATTCTGTCTTTCCATTCATTAGTTGGTGGACATTTGGGTTGCTTCCATCATTCAGCTACTGTGAGTCCTGCTACCATGAACATGGGTATACACATATCCCTCAAGATGCTGCTTTCATTTCTTCTGTATATTTACCTAGAAGTGGTATTTTTGGATCAGAATGCAATTCGATTTTTAACTTTTCAGAAGCCATCACTGATTTCCTGGCAGTGGCACCATTTTTCATTCTCACCAGCAGTGTGCAGGGGTTTCAAGTTCTTTACCTCCTCACCAGCACTATTCTGCGCTGTGTTTTGATAGTTGCCAGTGTGATGGACGTGAGGTGATATCTCTGTGGTCTTGATTTGTATTTTCCTAGTGATTAGTGATGAATATATTTGAACACATTCGTTGTTCATTTGTGTATCTTCTTTTTGGTGTATCTTCTTTGAAGAAATATCTATTCATGCCATTTGCTCATTTTTCATAATTTTTTTGTTGTCTTTTCGAGATAGGGTATGGCTATATAGTTCAGGTTGGCCTTGAACTCACTATGTAACCCAAGCTGGCCTCAAATTTATGGCAATCTTCCTGCCTCAGCCTCTGGACGCTGGGATTACAGGTGTACACCATCATACCTGGCTCATTTTTAAATTGGGTTGTTTGATTATTATTTTTTTTGGTGTTGAGTTACAGGAGTTCTTTATATATTTGAGGAATCAATCCCTTACCAAATACGTGATTTCAAAATATTTTCTCCTATTCTGTAGGTTGCTGTTTAACTCTGTTGGTTCTATCCTTTGATGTACAGAAGGTTTTATGTTTTGATGCAGTACCATTTATCTATTTTTTATTTTTGTGGCCTGTGTTTTTGGGGTCATGGCCAAAAAAATGGACAATTTTTCACATTTTTCAAACTTGGAAGTAAACTTTCTGTGCTTATCCCTTGCTTATTTTTATTGAACAGTTTATTTCCTTTTTATTGATTTGTGAGAGCTCTCTGTATGCTAAGGAGATTAGTATTTGACTCTAGAAGATACCAATATTTTTTCCAATTTTGTTATATGTCTTTTGACCTTGTGTTTGGCCTTCTTTCTACCCTTTCCCCAGAAAAGCCGTTATGAGACCTACATCCATCTTCTGGCTGTGAAAATCAAAGTGGGCTCAGATGACCTGGAGCGGATTGAGGCTCGGCTGGCCACCCCAGAAGGGGAGGACCCTTCTCTCCGGAAGACACACTCGAGCCCTGCCCTCAGCCAGGGCCACGGGCCTGTGACTAGCAGCAAAGCCGCTGGGCCTGATACTTAGCCAGTGTGAATGTGCAGGCAGATGCCCCTGGAGGGGTCCGTGAGCACAATTCTGGCCAGTGGCTGCTTGGACCAAGTTCCACAGTTGACAGGCAACCAGACGGGTGTGGAGAGGCCTGTGGGCCAAGGAGATAGAGATGCTACTCGTGGCGTTGGGCCTCTTGCGTCCTGGGCCATCTCTGGCCATCGCTCTCTCCCCAGCCCCCATTGCCTGCCCCACATGGGGCCTCATTTTGTAGGCCAGGGCATAAGTGCTCTAGCACCTTCTCACTGGAGAGACTGGAAGGGCTGCCACTTCCCCAGGCCCCTGCTTCTTGCTGGCTCCTCTCTGAACTCATCCCCTGTTTGTGAGGTGGGCCTGCCCTCTCCTCCTCCGTCCTCTAAGCTGCAGGTCTGTGCACCAGCTCTGTCCTTGCCTCCTCCCAGCCGCCTCTGTGAGCGGGCGCTATCCTCCTGCCTCGCACTGCAGTGACCCAGGACATGAGCTGCCTCACTTAGTGCCAAGCCGCCTGCACTCACACGTGTGCCCGCCTCTCCTCCCACCCCCTGAGGCCACTGCTGCCTCCATTTTTGTATGGACGTAGACGTATAAATATAAATTATATAGAGAGCAGGAACTCTTTTAAAGATGGTTTTGGAACTGCTGTCATCAGTTAGAGGATGAAATCAGATGAAGAAAAAGCCTGATTTGGGGCTCTGTTGTCTGCCAGAAGAGCTGCCACATGGCCCTGGGTGGTCCTAATGCTCTGGGAGGAAAGATGGAGAGAGTGCTGACCTCCTCCCGCCCAGCCTTTCCCCTCCGGTGGACCTGTGACTCACAACTGTTGTTCCAGTGGGTGGTTTTGGACTAAGCAGAAAGATGTGTGTGCCATCCTCTCTGTTGTAAGGTGTCCTGGGAGTGAGTGGGATGGCCCTGTTTGTACTTAAATCTCTGTTGGTGCTGCCAGGTCTCTGAGCTCCAGAGGTGGCCCCTTGCACAGACCCACTCCGCAGGAATAACAGGCATTCCACCTTGCAGAGAGCTACTGTCAACAAGCCCAAAGATGTGTGATGGAGGAAGGTTCTAGAAGCCATTAACTCTTGGTCTTGGGAAAAGGTGGAATGACAAGTTGCTGATTGTTGATGTTTCTTGCATTTTTCTAGGGAATCAAAAAGGCCGAGTTAAGGATATATCTGGGAAGAGTAGACACATTTGCTACATTCCCACCACATACTAAACCTGCATCCCTCAGACCGACAAGTGGTGGGGTGAAGGCACCTCAATGTGGCCCATGAGCCAATTCTTCCTAATGTTTAAATAGATGACTGTAGTTTGGCCAGCAGTTTGGCCTCTGGGGTAACATACTTAGTTAATAAGATGAGCCAACCTCACAACTAAGTACCTAACAGTTACAAGCCCACTCACAGTTATGAAGGGACACATGACTAGGTGGAGAGATGTAGTGATTAGCCAGATTATTTAAGTTGGATCAGCGGAAGTGTTTTATAACCAAACCATCTGGTCCTTTCGTTTTGCTCAAGGGAAGTCAATGTTCATTTAAATGGAATTGGAAAGGCAGTGTGGCAACATGAAAGAGCTCGCTGTGCTTCTCCACGCTGCCTCTGATGTCCTTTGGTGTTTGGTTCATGTCCCGCCCTCCACTTCATGGGGCGAGTGATGACAGCAGAGCGTGAGTGCTGTCGTCCTCACACAGACGTGCTTCCCCAAGCACTAATTGTGCCTCCCGTCAGTAAAGAAACTCTTAGTTCACCTCCTTAATTGTATAATTATTTATTTGTAAATTATATACATGTACTACTGTACTAAAATACTATGTACATTATAAAACATACACAAAAATAGAAATTTAAAAAAGATGAGATGAAAATAAATCTAAATCAAAGTTAATAGTTCTTCCTCTATTCTGATGGACCGTTATGTTCTCACTACGACTTCTGCCCCTAATATACTCATTTTCTCTGACCGTCCAAATCCAGACCCTGGTGAAATGCAGTAAGTGGTTTGCGCCACCTAGTGGTCCTGTGCAGTGACCGCAAGTCAGGACTCCTCTCGGGGCTGACCCTTGACAGCCTTTTGTACATTCTGGCCTTCAGTGAGGATCGAATGCTTGTTGCCGGCTGTGCTGTGGACAGTGTGATGAGGAAAAAGACCAGCTCCTTGTCCTCAGGGGCGCACAGTCTAGTGGGGAGAGAGGCGGGTGGCTACTATTTGGGGTGCTGGGAGAGGCAGAAGGAGACATCGAAAGTGATGCAGCAAAGGGAAAAAAGAACATGGGAGTAGGGGTGAAACCGACACGGGAAGCCACCCAAATGTCCCAAGTGCACTACGCCACATGCTGGCGGAGGGGAATCTGTGTGACAGGGCTGTAGCACTTCCTGAGAGGCCACGTTACAGGTCCCACCAAGGCAGACACTTGAGGGGCAGAGGAGGCATGGTCTCTGGTCAGCGTGCTCTGAGGTCATAGGCACTCCAGTGAAAACACACAAATAGATGACATGGGGGGAAGAGCCAAGGAATTTTATTAGACTGTGGCCCCAGACTACGGGCCAAGCAGGACAGGTGTGACAGAATCCAGGACAGATAATGAAGACACCGAGTGAGCTCATGTGAAGGTCAGTGAGTCCACCAAAGGCCACTCCAGATTAGTTGGGGACCACATGGAGATTGGTGAGTCGGAGTCATGGAGCTGCTTTTTGACTGAAAATGTAGATGTCAATAACTCAGAGTCCCCAAAAGATTAAATGACACTAAAGTGGGTCACGATAAAGTCAGCAGGTTTAGCAAGAGGTCATAGAGTTAGTTAGTTTGGGATCCCAAAGAGGTCAGCGGTCACAAAGAATTATTGGCCCTTAGAAAATTTATAAGCCAACTGAGAGCTGAGGGGCCTTGATGAGACCATAGGTTGGGACTTGAGAGAGGTCAGTGATTTTTCAGGTTTGTGCAACAGTTAGTTCATTATTTTCCTTTGTTCCTTTGTAATAGGTGTTCACCCCAGCATCCCCACAATGAATGCAACGACAAGGGCCTTCTTTTATTTTCTCCATCTTCCCCCTCTCATCCAGTGTTTGCCATTCTGTGTGATTCAAGGATGCAAGGCACAGGATACTGTCAACACCTCCACTGAAGTAGCCACTTACTAGGCATCTAATATCCACAGCAGCCTTTGAGGTAGGTGTTTGCATCATCATTCATGTGGAGAGAATCTCGGCCTAGGAAAGTCACACAGCTGGTGCGGGAGCAGAGCTGGCACTGGAACAGACTCAGCCCTGTGGGTACCTAGGCCCCCTCAATTTTGTATTTCTTTGTTCCCCCCGTCAGTCTGGCCTAAACACTTCCTGGGGCATTCACGAGTGTGCATGTGCATGTGCACATCTGTCCACCCACACAGCCACAGGTGCGCACAGCTCTTCAGAGAGAAGACTTTCTCATGTTCTGGCTGGAACCTACTGGTTCCTGGTGCTGGGCACTGGTTTAATAAATTAGTCAATGAGGGGATAAGCCCGGACCTATGTCTGCTGTCTCCATACCTGGAATCATGTACCTTTCATCAGCGGCTGCAGGTTTAGGCAGGCCCTGCCTGTGAGGGGATACAAAGTCGGGGAAAGAGCAATATCCTGTGGGCTTTTGAGCTGCAGCTGCTTGGTCCTCCTGGCAGCGAGGGTACCCATTACGGTGTCTTGCATGTCCGGACTTTGCCTGTGACGTGCCCAAGACCCCAAGGGTCATCTTGCCGCAGCTGCCCCTGTGCCAACCCCACAGCCCTTCCCTCCTCACCTACCCAGGTCCGGAAACTGTTGCCTCAGTCCAGCCCCGCAGCTCCAGGGCAGGAACCGGGCCCAAGTTCTAGGGCTGAGTTTGAAGCAGAGCAATTTGCGTCAGTCTCTTGGCCAGGTTCCCTAGCAGCCAGGGGGTACACCTTGTGAGTGTTTTGGGAAAGGGAAGGAGGATTGGAGCCTGTCCTGGGAGCTGGGACTGCGGAGATTGGAGAGAGGGTCACTCCCTCCAAGAGACTGCCCGGCCCTCTCCAGCCTTCACTGTGACATCCACTCCCCTCATCTGTCCTCCCTCTTTACCTGGGGGCTAGGTACACACAGTCAAACAGCAGGTATTTCTGATTTTATTTATAATATAAAAATGTTCAAGTGTCAACAGTCAGGTGTTCGGACATTTCAGGGCAGGGTTCCCATTTGTTTCTGTTGAGAATTTTTTTTTAAACAATTGCCTTTTTTTTTTTTTTTTTTGGACAAATTAGCATTGGATCCAGTTTTGAGGGTTGGGGAGGGCAAGACTGGAGAGGGAATGGAAGTCATAGGTGGGTTGGGGACTGGCTGTGAGAAATGGTGTGATTTTATTGCTAACGGGAATAGAATACACTGTGGAGTGGCTCTTCTCGGTCCCAGCGTGACCATGCATCCAATCTAAAGAATCTGAAATGCAAAGGACATGCAGGCATAAAATAGAAAAGACGACCTGTAAACGAAGGTGCTGCAGAGGACAGAGGGCGTCCTGGAGGCCGAAGGGGAGGAGGAGCTGTGAACATTGGGCCCCTGGCAGAGCTGCCCCCTCCCTGGGCCAGGCTGTTGGGGAAACCTCTTTCTCTGTTCTCTTTTAGCAGCTGTGAAGAGCGGGAAGGGTCCCTCCCCATTCTGGTTGCTGTCGCTGGGCCTTTGTGTCTCTCCCTGGAAGTTACCTGACACCACTTCCAGCTCTAAGCTTAGGATCCTGCCCTCTCCGGCAGGCGGCCCGGGACTCCAGATCTGGCCCGGGGGCAAAGCTACTTCTGACTGCAGTTTCTTGCTCACTGCCTACCCGCTTCTGCCCCTGCTTTCCCTCGTCCCCCTCCAACTCGGGACCACCCCCAACCCGACTCCGCGCAGCCCGGACCTCTCCAGGAGCCCCAGAATAGCGTACAGCAAAAGGCACCACAATATAGGTTTCTAGTAAAGAGTCAAAAAATTGGCCCATCTCTCTTTTTTTTTTTGTTTCTTTTTTTTCTGAAGCTGTAAATCAGGATGTTACATATAAATAGTTTCCCTATAAAAACGTCTTTGCCGTTAGCTAGTATTATAAGACAATTTTTGCTAAAATGAAAATAAAACATTTTGTTATACTTTTTTCCTTTTATAGAAAATAAAAATATTTTTATTTCTGTTTTGCCCTCCTCTCTCCAGTCGGCGGTCTCTGTCTCCGGCCAGTGGGGCGCGCGGGCGGGCGGCGGGCGGCGCGCCTAGAGGGGCGCCGAGTCCTGCTTGGCCCGCGCCGGCGGCCCGCGGCTGTGTCTGCTGCTGGCCCGTGTGCTGTGGCTGTCCAGGGAGTAGTAAGTCCTGCTGTCGGCCGCCGGGCACAGCGGCGGCGAGTCCGAGCGCAGCGCGTCGTGCGCGGCGCGCAGGCCGAGGAAAGGCGTGCTCTCGGCAGCCAGCGCCCCGTCCGCGTCGTCCGCGTCGTCGTCC